CATGACACCAACGAGGAAGGCGAGAGAGAAGTTGAGGGTCGCCAGAGCTGAGAGGAACATGCCCAGCAGGAGGAGGGAGAAGGACTTGATCAGCTGGTATTGCTGGACCGTAGGGTTGTACGTGGATTTGAGGAGCGAGGAGATGAAGAAGGGCAGGGCACAGTTGGCGAGGGCGAAGGCTGTGTATGCGCCAGCGAGCATCTGTGGGATTGAAAAGTGAGCATTTGGATCTTGGTTGAGCTGAGAATGAGAAGGAGAGCTTACATTTGCAGGCATATGATTGAAGATGTACAATGGCACGACACCGAGAAATTGGCAGACAGCCACGAGACCCAGAGGAAGAAACAGATCGCGTTCTACGGCGGGAACAGAAGGTGAAGACGTGTTCGTTTCCTTTACGGTCTCGAGTACCTCCTTAGACGCAGTGTCCTCATTCTCGGATTTCACCACCGAGTTGGGCGCAGCTGACGGCTGGTCCTGGTGACCACTCTTCACCCAGAGGGAGATTGCAGTAATGGTGAAGCTGGCGGCCAGGATCATGGCACTTGGCAGGTACGTACCAATGCTCACGAACCTCTCCTTCTGCATGAGTAGGTAGAAGAAGAAGCTCTGGTGGAGGTGCTCAAGCAGGTTGTTCAAGCTGCGGAAAGTTCCTTCGACAAGGCGGCCCATTCCCATCTCATCGTGCCACCCGTCACCGAATGGTTGCAAAGTCACGGCATCCACGTGGTAGGGGATGAAGCTACTATGCGGACCAGAGGCGTGGCCGAGCCCCTGGTTCAACATGCCGCGAAGCATCGTGAGGAGTCGGTCCCGGTACTTGTCAGAGTGCGACCACATCTCCTGGATGGCAGTGCCCATACCCATCTGTCCACCCGCGATATTGACAACGGAGTTGATGAGGTCCAGGTTGGGGAGCTGGCCGTTGATGCCGTCGTAGATGATATGGATGGACTCGAAACGGTGGTCCTGCGGATAGTCGATGGCGATGGCACCCTGCAAAGCGCCAGACTTGAGTGGAAGCGAGTTCACCCGGGAGGAGTCGTGCGAGTCGTGGTATGCGTCGACCCATGCCTGAGTGCCCGTCCTACTGTCAGGAGGAATGACGAGGATGATATCCTTGGACCAGAGTGACCATCGCTTGAAGTACCTCGCCAGTGTCAGCGCCAGTGGAAGGCCGTTCTGGTTGAACTTGTCGTCGACCGTTTTCCAGGCCGCGATGAGCACAATAGCCTCCGTGGCATCGCCGCGAGGAGCTTGAAGAATGGCGTAGATGTTCTCTCCGGTATATACGTCGCCGGCGGATTCGTATGTGTAGTTTTGGCGGCCGACCTTCAAACCAACGCTCTTGAGGATGCCCTCGAGCTTATCATTGATTCTACCATGTTTCAGTGGTTAGCCCAAGTCATAAAGCAGCCGTGAAGATGCAATTACGGTGCTCCATACTCGTAATTTGACTTGTCCCTGACCGAGTTGACCTCATGCTTATACGCCCTCAGCACATGCTGGTCACTTCCACCGAAATACGTGTGCACTTGACCCGGAAGCAGCGCATTCTCGGAAATGTAGGTTCGTCGTGAGTAGTCGTTCAAAGGCAAGAGAAATAGCCATGCAATACCACCAAGAATGCAAGCGAGCGAGATGTAGGGCGGGAGCTTGAGGATGCGCGGATCGCGACGCAACGACAGTGCCGAAGCTGGATGGATGCGATGTCAAGTCAGCTACAACAGGGGCAAGAGTAGAGGGGGATCAAAGGGTCTCTTGTTTGTTCTCACATATTAGTCGCGACATAACGGAGGCTGTTGTTCTGCAGCTCCCGAGAGCTGCGCAATCGCACAATTACTTCGTCTTTGCTGTGCGGTGACTTTCCGAAAGGACAACCGTCATCTTTAAAGATGGGTTGTAAGGGCGTCCCGGGGATGGAGGCGGAGCTGTGTTGGAGGTACAAGTGACAGGAGTCCCCATATATTCATTTATCCGGGCTCGTCCCCTCGCGTTCGATCCCCATCCCCGAGTTTAGCTCAAGCTTCGGGCGACTCTGCCGCAAGGTGGTAGGTACCTAGACTTTTTAGTGGATCCGGGGCCACGGAGGCATTAATCCCCGTCGTTTGTGAGCGGTGAACCAACTTTTTTGCGGCTCACCACCAGAATTCTGCCCCGCCATCGCCATCTCGAGTACCAATTTTAGGATTCTGCCACCCTCTTCAATCGATCCCCGACGCAATTGCGACACCTTACAGACCATAAACGCTTTCTCTCGTCGAACTCGGCGAACCAGAAAAATGGGCGTCACCAACAAGAAAACTTTGACCAAGACACGAAGGAAGACAAGGTAAGGGTTTTTACAGGAGCAAACGGAAGAAAAACTAGAAGTCGTCTTCGGTTCCTAACAAAGCATACTATAGGGATGTCGACCAGATCAAGGCCGATCTGCGCTCGCCGCGCCATCTCCAACGTTTCACGGGATCAAAAGCAAAGGAGGATCTTCCAGGATTGGGACAGCATTATTGCATCGAATGCGCCAAGTGGTTCGAGACCGAAGTCAGCCTCGTAGGCCACCGTAAGGGAAAGCCTCACAAGCGCAGGTTCGTCTTCTCCTACTACACTTCCATGCCTCCGCTTGGCCTATATGTGCTCTCGTCTGTTGCGGTCCCGCTAACCTATTGATTTCCAGGGTCAAGCAGTTGAAGGAGGAACCGTATACCCAGAAAGAGGCAGAGGCCGTCGTCGGCATTCGAACAGACGACAAGGGTCCCAACAAGGGAGGACCCGAGAAGGCCCTCGACCAGGAGATCGAGATGGAGACTTGAGATGCGCTTGGCTCCTGCCCACAAGTCTGCCGTGGCTCAAGAGTAGACGCTAGATGATACCCTTTCACGACATAATGTACTGGAATTGCCATCACCGCTTTCTCATTACTGCACCCTGAAGGGCCGTGGTCGGGAAGTTGAGATCCAGCTTGCGATGGCTCGAGGCTCAGGGCAAGCAAGCGGCGGCGATGATGCCACCAGTGAGGTTCTACAGCGGGCATCTGTTGTAGCACCTTTCATCGGATGCCACGGCCGCGTGGTCTGACGATCCCGGTACCCCGACCTCTCGTTGTCTCGGAGCCTCCGCGGCCTCCCGCGCGACCACGCGTTGTGCCTCCACGTGTAGAAGGTGCCGGCACGCGGGAACCTCTAGTAGCTGTGCTGGGGGTCTTGTATTTCGGGGTTGGCTTGGAGGAGGCGGGCGGGTTTTCAACGAACGAAACGTCAGTGGTCCTGTAAGTGATTAGCAGGATGCTTAAAAAGCTTCCAACAGAGGAATTCAGGGTATGGATCAGTACATAAAAGTCGTCTCGCCATCAAAATCATTGCTAGGCTTTTCAAACGCGCGAGGAATGCCTGTGAATGTGCATGTCAGAAATACCGCCAAGAATGCACCAGAGATTGCGTTGGGGCTCGTACCTGATCCTGCGGCTGCGTTCGTCTCTTCCTGCAGCTTCGCCCTCTTGAAGGACTCGGGGACAGGGCCCTAGAGAGGAGAACGAGGTAGGGTCAGCATTGGCTAGTATGTCAAAAGGTATCTGATGGAACAATCGCACCTCTTGGAAATCGACGCAAAAGGCATTCATGTTCAGGCCGTACATGAAACTCGCAAAAGATTCGCTGAAGCGCGCCAGACTCTCGTGCATCAGCTGGAAGTGCATCATATTGGCTTCAAGGTCGGCCATGGCATCCGAGAGCTCAGCAAAGGCGGGCTCAAAGGTGTTGAGGGGAAACGACTCGCCGCCGCCGTGAACGCTATCTCTGGCGGACTCGCGAAAAGAGGATCGCGAAGAAGGGCGCAGAGGCGTGGTCGGGCGCATGGGGGTTGTCGGACGAGAGTTGCGCGTGCGCGAGCCGGATCGCTTCTCGTGGGCGTTGTAATCTGCCATGATGGGCAGTTGAAGTGGAATCGAGATGTACTATGTGCAATACTTTGCGTTGGGAACTCGGCGAGAGAGACGTCGTCAGATTCTTTGGTGTCGGTGATAGCTGTCGGTGTAACGCGGGGTGTCGAAGTACCTTAGTTGTGGGGTGAGCTGTGGTTGCTGGTTGATGGAAGTTCAAGTGAAAGTCAACATCAACAAACCCCGACGGCTTTGGTGGCCCGACATCAGGTACAAGGCACCTCAAGGCTGGAGTCCTGGACTACGTATCGTTTTTTATTTTCCTGGCGGGGTTCAATCTTCCCAGGGCAAGGCCCCGCACTCAGCGCAAACCAAAACTGCATTTCAGCACGTGTAGGGGCTTCAAGAAATCGCCCGTCATCTCTAAAAGACCCCGGCAGACAGCTGGTCATCAGGCGGGATGACGCAAATTTGGGTTTCCTCAGGCCGATCCCAGCGTGCCCAGGCATTGAAGCTTGGGCAGGCTTTTGTCCTAGAGTCAAGCTACCTACCTACTGTGTACGTTCCCCGTTCCACTCTGTCTAAGTTTTCCTCATCTTGAGGCCATTGAGGTTGACTGTGAACCTGGATGAAGAAGAGGTTATTCAACAACCCTGAGATCTCGAGGTTTATCTCAAAACAACGACAGTGTTAATAGCGTTGAGTAGACGCTGCAATAGTGTGACTATTCGATATGTAATTGTGTGGATTTTTTTTTTTTTTTTTTAGCCCATTGATTTAAAGGGGCGGAGGCGCAGACGTTCCCCGTTCCACGTTCACTCAAGGTAAGGTATCGAGCGCGTCTCGCGTGACTCGGCCCCGAAGTTCCATTAAGGTAAGGTACGGGGCACCTCACCTCGCGTTCGCTCAACCAGGGAGGAGACACGCACAGGTAAGGTACCTAGGTAAGGTAAGGTAGGTAGGTAGGTAGGTACCTGGCGTCCCTGCCTCGTCGCATCCGACGGGAGGTCGCGTGGCCATTTCTGATGATTTTGGTGGACCTGCTGTAATGAGGAAGGCACCTTACGGATACAGATACCAATACTCGCACTCGCACTTCCCCCGCGACCCTGAGGCATCGTACGGACTCGAATACGACGTATTTTATTGTGCTCGTTTACGGTTTACGGTTCACCACACTCTACGTAGCGTCCATGTTCACCATTTTGCAAACCTGAACGACCAGAATCGATCACCACGTCCCATTTCACCATTTCACTGCAAAAGGTTGCACGCATCAACCCCCCCCGCTCCCAACGACATCCCACCTCAACCTTACCCATACCTTATCCCTCTTGGTCGGTGTCGGTCTCCTTGCTGGGTCCGCAAAGCTATTCCTCTCCCACCACATCTCAGCACCACAATAGCTCGACAACTCCAAGGTACATTGGGCAAATCCACAGCTGACACCCAATTACTACAACAAAAGACGCCAACTAAGGCACCTAAGGTCCAACGGTACTCTTGGAAGCTGTGCCAGTCCGGATCGCTCGGAAATTGAGCTACATCTGCGTCCACCAGTGACCAAGTTACCAACTCCGTGAAGTTTGAACAGCCTCCTAAGGGGTACCAAGTACAGCGCTCGACCCTCGCAACATTGCGCTTACCTATTGTCGCTGAGGTGTCGTCGTCCTCCTCCTCCTTGTCCGCCGCGTCTAAGCCTCCCTCAATCCCCGTCGCCCCCGACTTTCCTCTTTGCTCAAAGCTCCGTCCGCAACGCTGCCCCTCCGTCGCACATTCACTGCCCACGTAATAGACCCGGTCTCACTGCCTTATCCATCAACCTCTCTGTATCCGTACCTTGCTTCCACGGTCCTCTCGACTTTGCTCTTCTCGTCTTCCTGCATTGTCACTCCTTGGCCGCCAACCGCATAGACGCCAGTCCGTAAACTCTCCATCAGCCGCGTAACCAAAGTAGGTACCTACCCTAGTCATTCCCCAATCCTCACAACCCCTCCATACCTTAACTCCCCTCCGGCGCATGTCAGCCACCCAGTCTGTTCCTCCCTACCGTCACTTCAACCTCCGGCGCAAGCCATATTCCGGCCATCCGCGCATCACTCGGCTTGATTCTTTTCACCTTGCCAGATTTCCTCTCCAACCCGCCGCCATTTGCCAATGCACTACACTGTGGGATGACCCTGCTGACCCCGTCTCAGCACCACCAATATAGTCCGAAGCATTGACTGACGTCGTCGACTGATGCCGGTCTGTTTGAAACCACAAACCTCGGCTTTGCCTCGAATTTTCACGTTTTCGCAAAGCTCCCTCCAGTGCGCTTCGGGGACTCGCCTTGCACAATTGCCATTGACTTCGCAATTTGGACGGCAGCTCCTAGTCAGACCCTGTGTCCGGAAATTCAACTGCCCCTCCAAGCCCTCAAATTACAGACGATTCCAACCACTCGGATCACCACAGTCACCGGGCCTCCCCAACCTCAAGAAACCCCGTCTTCTCCTCGAGTCACGGGTTGACATCGTCCTCTGCTCCGTAGCTGTTGCTCTTGCGTGCGCATACGGCCTGTTTTATCAGCAAATCACCGGATCCAAACCTGACCCTCAACCAGACAACGAAATCGCAGAACCTCATCCATCAGAAGTCATGGCGACGGACATTCCCGCTGGGAGACCGGGTAACCTCACGCCGGAGCAGGAGGAAAAGCTGCGCCAACTGTGGAACCTCATTCTGTCCTTGGGCGAGGAGACCAGCACCGCCGCTGCAGACAGCGCATCTGCCAGCATAGCCCCGAGCGAAACGTCGGCTCCCGGAAAAGGCGACAAGCCCAAGAAGAAGCGCACTTCATTGTTTAGCCGCAAGGATAAGAAAGAGGGCGCCGCGACATCGACAGCCATTCCAGCTGGTATCAAGGAGGACGGCGAGGACAAGTACGGTCAAACGCAACAGTTCAAGGAGGCTTTGGCCAACCAGAGTCCCGAAGCTTTGCGCGCCACGATATGGTCGATGGTCAAGCATGACCATCCCGATGCCCTTGCCCTGCGATTCCTGAGGGCGCGAAAGTGGGACGTTGAGAAGGCTTTCGTTATGATGATCTCCACGATGCACTGGAGGTTGACGGAGATGAAGGTTGACGACGAAATCATGAAGAGTGGTGAGGCTGGTGCGCTCGAAGCTGCGCAAAATTCCGATCCCAAGATTAAGCAGTTGGGAGAGGATTTTATGGCCCAGGCCCGTTCAGGCAAGACGTTCATCCATGGTCTTGATAAGGGAGGACGCCCGATCTGCCAGGTCAGAGTGCGCATGCATAGACAGGGGGAGCAATGCGAGGAGAGTCTCGAGAAGTATACTGTCTTCTTGATTGAGACAGCTCGTATGGTTCTGGCTCCTCCCGTCGATACTGCTGTAAGTTTTTCCGTGTTTTGGCAGGCTGACTTGTGCTAATCGGACAAAGACAATCGTTTTTGATATGACCGGCTTTTCACGGGCAAACATGGTTAGTCATCCCCATATAGCGCAACTTGATGGGATATTTCCTAACCATTGCTCTAGGATTACACCCCTGTGAAGTTCATGATTAAGTGCTTCGAGGCAAACTACCCCGAATCTCTCGGTGCTGTTCTGGTGCACAAGGCCCCATGGGTCTTCCAAGGTTTGTTTAACCCATGATTAGTCTTGAGTGACACAACTAATCGATGAATAGGTATCTGGAAGATTATCAAGGGTTGGCTGGACCCCGTCGTAGCTGCCAAGGTCCACTTCACCAACAATGTCAAGGAAATGTCAGAGTTCATCGAGCCAAGCCACATTCTCAAAGAGCTCGACGGCCAGGAGGACTGGGACTACAAGTACGTGGAGCCAGTCGCTGGAGAGAATGACAAGATGAAGGATACGGCAACAAGAGACGCGCTGCTTTCTGGAAGGGAAGAACTGGTCCACGAGTACGAGGAGACAACCCTCCAGTGGATCAAAGAGGCCGGGACAGACAAGGAGGCAGCCATCAAGGCACAGCGCGAGGAACTTGCCCGCAGACTCAGGGATGACTACTGGAAGCTCGACCCTTACCTCCGAGCAAAGTGCGTCCTAGATCGGACTGGCGTTATCCAGGATGGTGGCAAGATCGACATGTACTCCAAGGGGGCACCTGCTCCCGCCACTCCCGCTCCCGCTGCAGCAACTCCTACGCCGGCTTCCGCACCCGCACCTGCGCCAACCAACGGAGCTCCCGCGGTTGAGACATCGGCCGACGATGTAGACTAGAGACCGGCACAGCCGGCATTAGATTTACGAAGGACGTACACGCAGGTTATGAGAATTGGTCGGGGGGATAAAAGAGGTTGAAACAGCCAAAGACGTCGAATTACGAGGAATTGATATCCCTGCTATTGAGTTGAGGGCGGGGGTGTTGATAATACCAAAACTGGCTTCTCTACATCTTGGACTTGATGTCCTCAAAGAGGGCCTTGAGCTTGTCCATATCGGTCGCCTGCTGGGGCCAACCCACGCCGAGACCCTCGGTCTCATTTGGCTTGGGAATCTCCAACGGGTGTCAGTACGAGAATTTGAGGCGGTGGTGAGAAGTGTTACCATGTGGAAGTGAACCTATGATGATTAGCTATGATGACTGGCAAGGTTGATGAATAAAGGGGGAACACTCACGTGGTCGACCATTTGGTGAGCGATGCGGCCGTTGTTCTGGAGGATATTGTAATCGGTGGCACCGGTCGCGGCGACCAGCTTCTTCACAACAGGCTGTAATAACGCAAGCGGTCAGAATGAACACACAAGGGGGCGCGAGAGAGGCTGGTGGGAGGCATACGAGGAGTTCGCTGAGCTGATCGTCGGGGATATCAGCCAACTTGGCGCCGTGGTGCTTGGGGATGACAAGCTGCGGAGACAATGTAAGTGTATATTCACAGGATGATTATTACATGGGTGAGTTCTTACAGCATGGCCGCGGCTGAGGGGGTTGATGTCGAGGAAAGCGAGTGTCTTTTCGCTCTCAAAGAGCTTGAAGCAGGGAATTTCGCCTGATGGGGGGGCGAAATGTCAGTTAATCCTGCGGTAGCGGGGGTTCGGAGATGTCTTGGGGTTGGAATCAGATGAGGAGCGGGAATGGGGACGAACCCTTGATGATCTTGCAGAAGATGCACGAAGCCAGGCTGGACGTCATGATGAGAGGATGTTGAGTCTTGCTTTTGTATTCGATAATTGAAGTCGTCTAGGAAAAGTTGAAAAATCACCGTATCAATTGCGAGAGGGAAAGGTGAGTGAGGATGATGAAGTTGAGCAAAGGGAAGGACGGGATTGAAGAGATGCGGAGGGCATATGCAGTGAGGTGGGCGGGGATACGGAAGCTGAGGAAGCTTGTGTGGGGTGGTTCGGGGATTGCTACGACCGGGAGAATGAGGAAGGGTACTTGAGGAACAAATTACCTCCAAAAGGTCGGAGTGGGACCTCCTATCGAACTCACCTCTTGCCTTTTACCAGATGTGACCGTTGGATGGCCCAACAGACTCCATTCCACCAATCTTTGGCACACCCTCATCTGGAGTACCCAGGTTCGAATTTTTGTTTTTTGAATTCTGAATGTCTTGCTCGACAGGATCCATTTGTCGCTTTTTCCCTGCGACGGATTTTGCAATTGCTGGTGCCTCTTTTGTCATGGCATAATTGGAATGCGCATCAGCCTGTTAAGCCGCGCGCGAGGTCTTGAGGGCTAAGGTAGAAGACAGCGCCCGGCCAACACAGCGAGCGCAGCGCACGGCGTGGAGTTGCTGAAGGAGCTGCTGGGCTACTGCTGGGCTGCTGGGCTACTGCTGGGCTGCTGCACGGGTGACCTACCTGGCGCATCTGGATACCTGATCCCTGGCACCATCGTCGTCATACCCCTCCTTCTGCTGCGCAAACGCCAGGTCCTTTTTTTTCTACCCAAGCCGACGTAACCCCACCTTGGAGTGACTGAACAGCCCTGGCCGAGTCTTTTGCTCGGCACCTGGAAGCAAGGCAGCCAGCCAACATAAGGTGGGCAGTCAGACCAGGACGCCGTTGTTCTTCCTGAAGTGACATTCTTCTTGCAGTAACCTTCTTGTGATACCCAGCCCGTCCCGCGTCCTCATTGATTCCCGCCTTACAAGATTCGTCAGGCTACCTTACAAACTACAACTTGAGCACATCCATCGCACATATCGCGCCAGCCCGTGTATCTCTACTACAATAGCACCTACGAACGAAGCCCCGTTTTACGAGGAGAGGGCAGGTCATTCTATCGAAGCAACCATCTGCAAAAGCACCCATCACCTATAGCAAACACCATGACCCGATACAAAAGCACCCCTCTCTACGGCGGCGCTCTGGTCAGCGACTTGCCCGACAAGTTCGCCGACGTCAGGTTGGTCCTCTGCTTATCCCACGTCCCTCGCCTTCCTCTTGTCACCCTCTTTCAAGCTCTCAGTCACCCACCATGCTCTCTCTATATATATACATATGCAGGAGACTGACAAACCCTTTCCAAAAACCACAGCAAACTCCGCGAGGTACCCGACAACCAAGAAGTCTGGATCGACTCGGACGGTTTCACGAGCATCATCTTCGACATCACGGAGCGCGTCGGCCCCGCGGGCTCGAGCCCCGAGATCGACGGCCGGGCCCTGACGACGCACCTCGAGGAGCTCGTCGGCGAGGACGTCGACACCGTCAAGGTCTGGAACACGACCGAGACCTCCTTTTCGCGCCTCAGCTCCGACATTCCCGCCTACACCCTCATCGCGACGCAGACACCGCACGCGAGCAAGTCGTCCCGTTCGTCGTCCTCGTCGGCCCCCGATTTCACGGCCATCATTCTTACCCTCGTACGCCTTGAGAAGGAGTCGACGGATATCTTGGTCACGATTAACGTGCCGCATATCAAGGGCGAGTACGACGAGGCCGATGTCGATTTGGAGCTCGGTAAGCAAGGAAAGCTGATTGGCGACGCTGTTGAGTATGCTGCGCGTATTTGGGAGACGTTCAAGGTGAAGGACTGGTCTTTGTTCCAGGAGGTTTGAGAGAGGCAGAAAGAAACAAGGAGTGAAAAGGGATTCGATGAGATAAAATGGAAGACGGAATATGGATATCCCCAAAGTTAGAGACGGATCGAAGATGTGATTGATGAGGAGATGCACACCGCATGCAAAGCAGTTGACAGATCTAGGTGGTTTCCTTCCACCGCCGAGTTACGTGAATACGGCGGGAAGGACAGGCGGCGAAGTTTGACGATGAGACGAAATGATAGCCACACCATCTCTTGGGTTCTTTAGGTTTCACCAGTTGAGTTGTTCCATGCTGAGTATTATGATATCAAGAAAACAAAGTCAGACTTGTGAATGTATATATCCAAGAACTCTCTCTATATCGTGATCTTTTGGGTTACTGCCTCTGTGGATGTAAAGAATTATTAGATAATGAGAGACTTATTTGATGACGATCAGTTGCGAAAGCTACGTGTACAAATGATACGACAGCTGGGTCGGCGGGCTACAACTATCGTACTGGTCCTTGGTATATCGACGGAGCTACATGAGCACAAGAAGTCGGACAGTGATCATCATTTCGTGCAAGAACTATAAGAGGTGGCAAGTTACGTCCACCATACTGACTGATAGTTGTCACCTTCGTTTCGGATAATTCATTCCGCCTTACAATGACAAAGGCATTTGAGACCAGCATTCGAGTTGTGTCTTGTTCAGCAAGGGGGAATATAACGGCGTCGTCTTAGGGACCTTGGCTATACGCCAGGCGTCAACCTCTACACTTTGACTTTGGCGAGAATATGCAACAATTATCTTGCCTATGATGGAGCCGGTGCGTGATACCAGAAATTCGAAAAACTCTTAGAGAACTACTGAAAATCTCCTTAGATGGGGGTTCAACTTGAAAACCTGAAGCCTCACTTGACTAGCAGAATTGATAGTAACCTGAGCTCTTGGGGGGACACCCTGATTTCAAAATCACCTTTCGGTTGTGACTTTGTCAAAGTCGTTTGGGACAAGGTCATCATGATTAATGACACCATTGACGTTGCGTGCGTATCATCGTAGCGCTCTCGTGTACATAGATAGGGCAACACGAGGGATGATGGCCTGATTTGAAAACTTCTACATTCGACAAGGTGTAGAACACTTCATGATATCCGCTCCACGGTCATCCTGTTCATGACGCTGCTGCAAAGGCACGCCGTAGCTAACCAGAAAGCAAAGCGCCTATCAACAAATGAGTGTATCTCCAAACACTACCTTGATAGTCGTCTATTTCCCGGCCACATGCGCTGCTTACGAACTTTTCTGGGCCGCTCTTTGAGGCTCTCTCCAATCTCCTTGTAGACAGGGCAATTGGCCAGTGGGAGGATATATACTCTATTGGACTGAAGTCTAGTCAATGGATTCTTCCCTCCTCGGCAGTGATGCAGTAACCAACGACCGCAAAGTTGGTGCTGAACTTGCGGATGCCAGCTGCGTAGGTCATCTGCTCAATATGAGGTCGTCCCAAGGTAAATAGCCTTGTCACGCTCTACCTGGGCGGTCTCGTACTCCCTCTATGCCAGCTACTACGTCCGAAATATATTTCTTGTACTATACCTAGAGAATGATCACCATAGACAACAGAAGAAGATTGATGCTAGTAGCGGTAGAGATAATGGCAAGGAAGGTGTCGATCGGGGAATTCGTATCTCGAGCCACTTGAGCAATTGTGTAGCATATCACATACACATCAGCAACCTGGCCCTGGACAGTAGTCCTGTGCTTGCCTCTCTGTCACTCGATGAACTCAGACGGGTTCCCCTTTATTGATGATGTCATTGTCAATACTTATGATGATGGTGTTCTGCGCCACTGGATATGCATTTAGAAACCCATAAGAGGTGGTGATTAATTATGAGGCCATGGGCAATGAACTTTGTCGACCCTGCCTGATTCTAACGCCGACTGATCGTGTCCTCCTCCTATAACGTCAAATCTACCAGCTGAGAGCCAATTTTGTTCACATCCGCCTCCGAATCGGGGGTTGCCCGGGCACTGCCACCTCGCTTTGCCCACCGTTCTGCAATGATCTTCATCACCTCCTTCTGCTGGCTACCAGGGTGCTCCTTCTTCACCACCTTCATCTGCTCCTTGAAGAACTGCTGATAATCGGACGGCTTCCCGGCGGCTCTGGGTGTCGGTTTCGTCTGCTTCAACTGCGCCTTGCAGGAGCCACACCGATGGCGCTCGGGGTTGATGCTCTTGGAGTGGCGCTTATACTCGAGCCCGCATTCGGTGCATTCCCACATGTACTTGAAATCGATCTCGTACGAGTGCTTCGTCGTCACCTCGATGCCACGATCCCCGAACCGCTGTGAGCACTTGGCCGCCCAGATCTTGAATTCTTTGCCGTGCGGGTTACCAGTGATGCCGTTGACCATGAAGTTGGCCAGATGGCAAAATTCGTGTGCGACGACGTTGAGGAGACGATTTTCGTCATCAATCACCTTCTCCGCGAGCTCAATGGAAGCGTGATGCTTGTGCGTGACCGATTTCTCTGACCCGTCGGCGTTCTTGGTACGGATAGTTTCGCGCCTCCAGTTCGCTCTTCCCGCCGTGGTGTTGAGTTTGGCCGACCACTGGATCTTGACTCCTCCTGTAGACTCGGCTAGAGACTGCAGCTTGCCCTGGGTGATGGTCTCGTCAAGTTCCTGGAGGAATGCCTGGGCGATGTCATGTTTCCTCTGCTCGAACGCCTTCTTGCTTTCTTTTCGGTTGGCCGTAGTTGTCTTCTGTTCTTTCGCTTTTTTGGGACTTTTGGCCGGACTCCTTTGGGCCGGGGGCAATATCAGCTTCTTGGGCGAGTGCTCTTCGTTCCACTCATCCACGAACTCCTGACTCCAGAACATGTCCATACCAGGCCCATGGGGTGTCTTTGGAATACCCGGAAGCTTCTTAGGAGATATCAGTGTTTTGGTGGATGGCCTTGGCGGTGTCAATGGCGGAGTTTTTGGCGGAGCGTCTTCTTTTCTAGCCCTGCTTTGCTTCTTTGGTGGCTCGGCTGTGCTGCATTATTATGTTAGCAAGACAGCAATGCTACTTACGAGGTGGCTCTTACATGTCTAGCTGGCGAAGAGCGTCTGCCATATCGTCAGTGAGGTCAACAATCGCTGACTGTGGCCGTGACGTTTTCCTCCCGGGCACACTTTCGGTGCTTCGGTCTTTCGCTTTGGTGATTTTTTGAGGTCTGCTAGGTCTGGAGTCTGGGAAGTCGATTTCTGGTGCAGATTTTGTGACCGGCTGGCGCCCCTTCTGTCTCGGCGCGGTTGTCTCCTGACTGCGACCCGATACTGGACTACGAGCTCTCGAAACCGTAGAGTCGTGCTCAAAGAGTGTCGGAGTCCCATGATCTTCAAACTCTGATGCAGAATCACCAAAGAATTCAGAAATGTCGGCCTCGGTAATTTCAGTTTGCTCGTTCGTGCTGCTGTCTGATTCATCGTCTGACTTTGATGATAGGTTCCCTGTCGGCGTCACGTCTCGGCTTCTGACGCGCAGCTCCCTCACTCCTACACGAGGCGCCTCCTTAGATTTGATAGGAATATCGAATAGATTCTGTCCCTCATTTCTCGAAAACGTTCCGAATGGCCTCAGTAAGGGGTTGTCTGCCTTTGCACCAAGCTTCCGGCGTCGCACAGTCGGCGGCGCAGCCTTGACCGTTGATTTCCCGGCATCGGAGTTTTTCAAGCTTGATGCATTCCACTGAAGAGCTTCTTCTTCGAGCTGTCTCGAGGGTGAAGCATCGTCGTCGCTATCAATGCTAGTGGTTGTTGTCTGAGCAGGTGCTTTGGTAGGTCGGCGGAATTGTTTACTCCTTTGCAGGACGGCATCTAGGTCGGGGAATTCGTCCTCACTAGACGAGGCAAAGTCGACATATCCAGTCATGGTGTTGGTTTGATAGCCGATTGTAGCTGTATGTCGGATCCTCTGTCCAATTCCGGTACTTTGAGCTTGGGTGTGGCTTGACTTTGCACGAAAGTGTTGCAGAGCCGTCTTGTAAGGTAGATCGGTGCATGTCTCTTCGTTGCGAGGGGCAACCGCCTGCTGGAAGTGGAATGGTCATTCTGGAAGATTGCCCAATCAGGCTGGTGGAGGGCCACACGACACGTGACTTGTGAGCGGTGGCATACAGACACGAGACAGCACTGCATGATCAGTACTGTTTAAATACCTATTGGGTATAAGGTATGGCAAAGCATGTATCGGCATTCTAGTAAGCTTTGGCTGGGAATCAAGAATCACTGACACTGAAGCTGTCCTTCGAATTTCACGTCTTCTGAAGGCTCCAAGCGCAAAGCCTCCCGTTAGAGCATCAACTGTCAGGACTTTAAAGTCTGGAGAAGCAAGGAGCTTTCAGATCACGGTTCGGACCAAGAATGGCGGCCGTTCGAGAGGCTAGTCCTGGGATAGACAGGCCCCAGGTACCCCTGCAAAGCTGAAGCTCTATGCATTCAAGAATCCGACTGCACAGCCCTGGACGGGACAACAGAAGACGTTACAGAGATGTCCATTTGGCATTTGCTAGCCAGTGTCACGAGAGAGGCGCGTCTCACAGGTCGGTGGCCATGAGATAGATCTACGTTCTACCAAGGACAGTGATAAGATGCGACCGCCGATAGGATGTCCTGTAATGCAGTGGCCGATCAAAGACGGGGAATGCTGTGTGTCAAAACACCGGACCGCATCTGAGCAGGCAATCGGCACGCACGGAAATTTGATCCCTCTGTCCCAAAAGATAAAGTACCAATTATTACTGTGTGGTACAGAGGGGACCCAGCCATATGGAAGCGCGCATTGTTCAGGAAAACAAGATGAGACCCGCTCCCGTCAATGGAGAGTCGCCAGCGTCCCGAGACTCCTGTACTCTAGCCGAAAGGCTTACGCATGGTCTCCAGGAGTCTAGATGCCACGCCGTCATAAGGTCTCCGTAGACAAGCAGAGAAAGGAAATGGGGAGAGATATGCTGCCCGTGGAGAAGAAGGCCGCGCGGTACGGAGTACGGAGCATGGCATAAGGAGAACAGACTCAAGCCCGAAGTTCTGCCCTTGCTAACTTACAGAGTGATTGTTAAACAAGGTGATTTCCAATTGCCGTATCAAGACTCTGCAAGACCAACAAAAACAAAATCGTCCATACTGCAAGGTGCCCCCAACGCTGGCTACATGCTAACAGTCACGATAACGGCACTGTGCTAGCCAGCATCGCGAGACAAAGAACAAGAAACAGACGGATTGTGTGGACTTGGTGTCTTATCTGGCCCCTGTTGGCGGCGGCGGAACATTTCGACAAAGAAAGGAACCCCTGGAAGCCCGTTGCTAAAAAGGAACTCTGGCTTTTTGGGGGGGCGGGCACCGATGCCACCGAACCGTTGTGCGCTGCGCCACGAAAGCC